TAACCCAGACCAAGGTCTAGGGCTCAGAAACACAATACAAAATGGCTTTTCATTTACTACACTTCGAGCACCTTAGAACGAACGCGCGACAAACATATAATCAAAAACACTTTTTCTTCCCCCTCCAAATTATGGAGAACTTAAAAACAGCAATTGTATGGAACTGCTTCCAGTTTACTATCTGAAGCATGAATAAGGCATTGTGGAAATAGTTCTGAAATACCATTTCCACCAGCGCATTTCATAATTCAGGCACACCTTCTCCATAAAGACTCAAAGCTAACAGTTCACATCCTGACCATTGATACCTAACAGAAACACTAACGGAAGAGGTCAAAGTCAGATCGTTTTACAGTTTCCTATAGACCAAGTTAATGGTTGGTGCCGGCTGTTATTTTATCATCTATCTCAAATAGATGATAACTCGGATCACGTGAATCAAAGACAACATCACGCTGAGCATTCCTTCAGATACAGAAATAATGTGCAGCTGATTTCAGCTGTCCTCTTCCCCAGGGTTCATTTTAAAATGGGGAGCATTGCCATAAGTGAACATGCCTTTGATCCAACAGTATCCTTCTCTGCTTCTGTTCACAGCATTATCACAAGCAAACTGCACGAGTGCCTGCCTACTAAAGACCATGCAGGATTCTGCTTCCCAGCAGAAAACAGGGCAAGGGATTGGGGGAGCAAGGGGAGGTAAAACAGAGCTGCTAGTGAGAAGCGAGACTTTCAGAGAAACTATCCAGGAATGAGGAAATCTTTAGAAGTATTAAGGTCTCCTGGATAAAACTGGATAAATAGCTGGGAACAAGTAACAGGGGGCAATTTTACTAAAGAAATCAAACATAAAATTAAAAAAAAAAAGATATATGCTACAAAGTTTTTAGCGATTTAATGATACATAAAGAAAAAACTTCTCCCTAAGTAGCATTTGGCCTTTGAACTATTTATCTGTAACCTAAAAGTTGAAAGAAGACAAAGCAAACAAGTCTTAAAAAACACTTCTGGAAAAGAACTAAACCAGGAGGAAATACACTTTCTAAGGAAAGGAGAGGAAAAAAAAAAAAAAAAAAAAAAAAAAAAAAAAAAAAAAAAGACTATTTCATATTCAGTTCCACACTCTCAATGTCTTCTTATTGATGTTCTGACCAAAGATCTTCAATAACACACTAGTTTTGTGCATGCCTGCTACACCCTAATGAAATGAATTGTTCCTCAAATGAGTTGGTTTTTTTAGTGGAATTGCATAGTTGAAGCAGCATTTCAGTTTTACTGTCTCCATAGCTCCTTGTTTATTTCAGTCAAGACAAATATTTTGTTTATTAAAGGAAGAAAGATCATGTCCCAAAGAACTGTTGTCAGGGAACCAAAACAAAACTTTTAAGATCTTATGTTTTTGAAAAGCAAAGCTGAAAGGCAAGGATTAGAGAAAGCATATCTTGACAGGCAAGTGTCGAAGAGACACCCAGTAAAATCTTTCTATTTGTTATATTTAGCACAAGAGAAGATATGCAGATTCATAGTTGAAGGTGGAAAAAAATTATAGGGTTCCCAGAAAGATAAGATGTCGTCCATTTATTTCTGGGGGAGAATGGGAAACCCATGCCAGTTTGGGAGTGGAAAGAGAATAAAAGCCAGGATAAAGGACTACAACAACACATAAATACGCTTTGGTCAACATAAAGGACACTGCTGCTACCAACAGTAGTAAAACATGGGCTCACATACGGCTGAGGTTGGAGGGACCACTGGGCATCATCTAGTCCAACCTGTCCTGCTCCAACAGGGTCCTGTGTAACAGTCCAAAAATCAACTTACAAAACCTTTGCCAGCATCACAGATTAAACCCGATACCTGCTCAGGAAAACTCTTCCTTTCTGAACTCTAGTATTACTGCAAGCCGTAAAGACTTTCCTGCGCCTTTTGGACTCCGATTGATAGCTTTTCTAGGTCCTCTTTCTTTTTCTTTGTTAGTTTAGATGTGTAAAAATCATTAACCTATGGGAAATGAGGGGCCTACTGCTTACAGAAAGAAATGTATCACATTGTACCAGGTTGCAGTAACAAGTACTATTTTGTAGCTTTCTTTGTAAAGGTATGAATGCTCCCTGATCCAGTTGCTACAACAGGGAATTAGAAACCTTGATAGAAACATAGACTATTTGGGCAAATGACAGCACTGTTTGAATTATATTTTTTTTCCCCATCACTTGTAAAACTGTCCCTATTTGCCTATGTAAACTCATTCAAAAGTTTAATGTTAAAACACGTACAATTAACTAGAGATTGATCAACGGCACCTATGAATTTATTTTTGAATTAAACTAAATTCAGATAGTTGTAGAATAAACAAAGTTAGTAAAATTTATTTCCTTATCTTGAATATTCTTACAAAAGCAAGTTTAATAGTGTTATGATTATAAAAGTGTTATCTAATCTTAAAAAAATTATGTTATTACATTTAAAAATATAACTATGAATACAAGGCAAATATGGGCATAGTCCTGAAATCTCCCCCATCATCTTTCTTCTCCCTGAATTACTTTGGCTTCAGCCTGATTAAGAAAGCAGTCCCAGAAACAAAACTTGCTTTAGAAGCTACTTATCCTTATTGTAAAGGGCAGCACAAACTTTTACTTTTATTAATCTAAAAAAGGATATTTCCTTCTAACAAGCTAAAAGGTTAAGAAGGGAAAGGTAGTTCTAAACAGAATATTAAGATAATGTAATATGGTAGCCAAAGACCAATTAATCACCTCAACAAGTGAAATTATACTTGTAATGACATGGTTGCTCCAAAAGAAAAATCCAGTGGAGCTGCATAAAACCAAGCTGCACAAAGAAAACCAAAACTCCATTTGACATCTCTAACCCTGCTGAGGCATTAATCCAAGTACAAACAGCGACTACTCAGCAATTCAGAGCTCATTTATACAGACAGTTTATTTGGGTACACGTAGAAGAACAGCAGAATTCATAAATGGTCACTCATTTATACAGACAGTTTATTTGGGTACACGTAGAAGAACAGCAGAATTCATAAATGGTCACCAAAAAAAAAAAAAAAAAAAAAAAACCAAGAAAACCCACTATTTCTCTTAGGTTAAAAAAAGTAAAAAGCAACTATTAAACACCAAATAAAATTAAAGAATCCTTACAAAGCACTAGAAAAATCCACGAGGCACCTGCGTAGACTGTACCTGACAGCTGTGTACAGCACATACCCAAGTTATGTTTCTGCATCCATGAAGTCGCTTCTGGTTTTGATGTGTTTTTGATGGCAAATTTGCAGCCCGCCCAGCACACAGCGCGCACCCCGGGGTGGCTCCACGCGCCACAGCTCACTGGGGAGGCTCCTGGCACAGCACCACAACCAAGGCGAGCCAAGCAGGGGAGCACATACACACACTATGGGTGTTAAAGCCAGAAACGCACCAGCCTTGCAGGCTCTAGCAAGGTAGAGAACCCATGTCCCCAGGCATCCGCAGACCAATCTGCACAACAGGCAAAATTCACACGCTGTACATTGTACGCTCTTTATTGAAAGAATCTGCCTTTTAGACTCAGCATCAAAACAATCATTTAAAAATCTTGATTCTGTTCTTGCTTTGCAAACTCTCTATGCATTTCATGTGTTATACCCGCCACATCCACCCACTTTAAAGAAAGTTCATACTGTTCTTATGACAGTAGTGCCGCGATGGACACCATATATACACCCTTCAATAAACAGAGGGGAGAATATTCCCAAATAGAAGTCTCAAGAGAAACAGGATTTCCATCACATAGGCAGGATGCTAAGCCACACAGAGCAAGAAGGAGGCTTGTAGAAGAGCACACAAAGACCTGGGCAAGGAGGAGGAGGCAAGTGCGGATCATTCAAGCGTCAGGACAGGACATCTGCCACAGCAACAGTTCAGAAGACAACACACATTGGATTTAAGTTAAATTCATTTCATTAGAGCTACAAGCCAGCACTTGGATTAACGTGAGAAGGTCTACATGTAAAGTCTTGGACCCCTTCTGGTGGAAAACAATGAAAACCTGGCACATTGCCTTTGGAAAAAAAAAAAAAAAGAAAGAAAGAAAGAAGAAAAGCAGAGAAAAAAACAAAATCTCCTCATGCTACAGTTTCTTCCCAACTCATATATCCTTTGTAAAGCTTAAACAGAAAGCTTAAACGCATTCAGATGAAAATGGCTATAACCATGCAAACAATTTCATCCTCTCTGGAATTAAATATATTCAGCAGATCAAGCAGGTTGAATAGTCAACAGGTAACTGAAGAGATAAGCAGACAATGCAACTTTTCCTCTCACACCTCCCTGTCTTTCCCAACGCTCCCGCAAAGGAAAGAAATCTTTTCCTGTTCTGATCTATTTTTACAGTCTAGTGCATTGGTATTTTTGGAATATCTCCAACTGTATTCTTTACTGGGGCATCATAACTGAATCCCAGATTTCAAAATCATTTTAGCATATTCTCATAGGCTGCTTCAGAGAAAAACACCGAAGTAACAAAGGATCTAGCATTCAGAGGTGCCAATGTTAAAACCTACTAGACAAACTTAAAAAAAAACACTATTACTTGCAGAAAAAAAATAAAAAAAGAGGTGCTTTTTGTTTCTGTAAACCAAAACGTGGGTCACATCAGCTCATCAGCAGCGGGCACTTGGGGGAAATTTCTGACAACCTTACGGGCAGTCACAGTAATTGCCCGGTTACTGATTAGATGATCAATAGGGCAGTAAATCCGGAACCCCTGGGCGCCGGGGGCCCTCCCGCCGCCTCCCGGCCCGCTCCGCTCCCCCGGCGGGGTTAGGGCGGCGGGGAGGCCCGGGGGCGCGGGCAGCGAGCCGCTCCGCACAGCGCCGCTCGCCGCCCGCAGCGCGGCCCGGGCAGGGTGCGGCGCAGCGGCCGCTTCTTCCGATCCTTTTGAAGCGGTCAGCACGATTAGCTACCATTTTTTTTTTTTCCCCAATTAATTTAAACTTTTACCTTTCTCCCTGCTTGGCGCTGGCCGGCGGCGGGTGAAGCACCGTCTGGTTCCCTTCCATCTCCACCACGCACTTGGTGTTCAGCTCCAGCTCTGCGGGGCAAAGCGGCGGGGGCTGCGGCCGCGGCGGGGGCTGCGGCAGCGGCCGCGGCGGGGGCCGCCGGCCGCCCCCTCCCCAACCTGCCCTCCCCTCCCCTTCCCCGCCGCTCACCTCTCCTGTTCATGGGCCGGACCCTGACGGCCACTTTCACCTTGGTGTCCGACATCTTTCCCCCCCAACCCGCCCCCGGGGCCGGGCCGGCCCGAGCCGAGCCGCTCAGCGGCGGCCCGAGGCCTCGCAGCGACGCGGCGCAGCGCCCGCGTCCATGCCGGGCCGCGGCGAGGGCGGCTCGGGAGGAGGGCCCGGCGGCGCGGAGGGCGGCGGCGGCGGCGCAGCCCCAGTCGCCTCCCTCCCTTCTCCTCCCTCCTCCTCCTCCTCCTCCTCCTCAGCCGCGGCCGGCGCTCGTTTGCATAACCGCTCCCGCCGCCCCGAGCCCAACCGCCATCTTCCCCGGAGGGGAGGGGGAGTGGGGGGACACGGACGAGGAGGGGCGGAAAAACCCGAGCGCCTTCGGCAGGGGGTCGGTGGGAGGGGGCACGCCCCCCCGCCCCTCCGAGGCAGCCGCTTGGCCGCAGTGAGCATGCGCGTGGGGGGGGTCGTAGTGGCGTTGTTCGCGCAAAGCGCTGCGGCGAGGGGGCGCTGTGGCGCCTGCTTGCGCGTGCGCACAGAGGGCGGTGAAGCCGCGCGGGGCGCGTTGCCCTGCCCTTTTGCCCCGCCCCGTCACGTGTCGGGGTGATGAGGCGGTGCCGCAGAGGGGGGCGGTTGACATGGCGCGTGGTGGCCGTTGGGCGCGTGTCCTGGGGCCGTTACTGTGGCATGGCTGCCCTTACCGCTGCCGGCTCTTCATGGGCAGGGGCCTCTGGGAACGCAGAGGGTTAGGAGCAGGTTCCTGCCCCATATGGGATCAGGTGGTGAGCCCAGGACAGCGTACACCCAGCCTTCCCTCTTCCTTTGTCTCTGGACTGGTGCAAGCACCTGCCAGGCTCCATAGTCTCCAAGTAAAAATGACGTGAAATAGGTATTCACTTGGTTTTGGTCTTCCCTTGAGTGAGATGACTATTTTCAGAAAGCAAAAAGATTCTTCATTCTTTTAGGCAGAATGGAAATGGACTTAACTGAATAATACTCATCTGATAAACATGACATTAACATTAAACTGCGAATAGCCGCTATGATTTGTGAAGGCTTAGGTCATCACCGCAAAGCGCCGGAATGATCCCACTAGGCAGCAGGTTACCTGAAAAATCCATAAACTGGATCCAGAAACAAATATTTTGGCATTTGGGGATATATTTTTGACAAAAAATAAACATTGGTCAATTAGAAAGTCATTACCTGGCATGTTCGTGGTGCAAGCACTGGTAACTTAGCTGAACTGTGTATTTTGCACGTGCTTAGAAGGCTAGAGGCTACGGTCGTTTAAAACCACCCTGTTCTCAGGCTTGATTTTACGTTCTTAACAAAGAGCTGTGTCTGAAAGGCTGCAGCTGCTCATATGGTGGTGCTTTTCCAGACAACAACTGGCAATTGCTAACAAGTGCCGGCCCAAATAACCACAGGAAGGAGCTGAGTCCATTCACTAGCAGGGAGTTCAGCATCAGGGAAAAGCATTATAAACACTGGTGTATTATCCCAGAAGCTCCAAGGACAGCAGAGCAATCAGTGGATAAACCGAAAAAGATTTTTAGTAAAACTTTAGTACACTTATGATCTTGGGGTGTCCTTCTTTTAGAACTGTCTTATTAAAACTTTGTGGGTTTGTTTTGCTTTGTTTTCCCCCAGAGTGTCTCCTTAGCTTCAGGGAAATATATTCCATAAATCAGTCCTGATCATCTCACGCAACTAGCTGGCAAGAAACCCAGACACAAAATAGTGGTATCTGTAGCTTACTGAAAAGGCAGGTTAAAGCACAGCTGCGATTATTCTGTCTGCTCTGAGGCTAAACTACTGCAAGGAGAGTGGGATAAACAAACAAACAAGAAGATTAATAGGTGGCTGCTCTGTGAAAATGCAGATGTTTCAAAAAGAGGTAAAACCAAGTGATGGTACCAAGGAGGCAGAGAGAGTCATGTCATTTCTCCCCTCGCTCTCACCCCTCCTGGGCCAAGCAGAGTTTTGAGTAGCAAGTGATGGGGATTTGTTGAAAGCAGAGAGGAGCTAGGAACATATCTGGAGTAGGTCCTGTTGCCCCTGAATGGCCAGCGATCCCAGGAATGCTGAAAGGAAATGTGAGATATGCACTTAGCATGGTGAAACAGAAACTTTACCAAATAGAGACGGGCATCTGGAGAACGTCACTAGCAATAAATGTGGAGCTGGCACACATTGATTTCTTTCTTGTGGAAGCTGGCGTAGGAATGAAGTTTGTTGTGAAATGCATCGTAGGTATGTGGCTCAGTCAGGAAAGAGAAGAAAAGACATTGAAGTGAGACATCCTACCTATGACTGTAGACTGTAAAAACCCAGATCAAAGTGAGCGGGGGCTTGCCATAAGTCTGGAGTGACTGTGCAAAAAACGAGTTTTGCAAAACTTGGGTATTACTGGGAATGATAGCCAAGATATTTTGGGAAGATAGCCAACAGTTGGAAGGAAAAATACTCCCTTCCATCTCTATTTTCTACCTCTTAGTGGGAAAAAATATATCAATGCAAGATTATATAAGAACAGTGACATTTGCTGAAAGGAAACTAAAGGGAATCTTTATGAGATTGTCTATGATTTTGGCCGTGGGACAGTCTGGGGAACAAATTCTTGCAGATATCTGGAATAGACCTCTGAAAGATGTCTAGCCATTTGCAAATGTGGAAAGGCAGCCATGCAAAGGAGCCTGAAAAGGGAGAGGCAACTTAATTTCTCCTAATATAAACTGTAGCTGTCTTTTTCTTGTGAAATTCTGATTTCTTCGAATTTTGTCTCTGGTGTAAGCTAATGAGAAAAGGGTTTTTTTCCCTTTCATTCCTATCAGCTAGTCCATAAAAACAACTGCCAAGAATGACATGCTGGTTCCATAATTTTTTCTGTCCTCCCGAGGAAGAGTTTTTGGCAACACCTATGTCAATACCTGACAACATCTGCTAGGCAGAACGTAGCAGAATGTGGTTTTGGTCTCCTCTGAACCTTTGGCATTAAAGCAGAAGAGAAAGGGACTCATGTTAGAGAGGCCCCTTTAGATCTTTCATCACAACTTGTTGAAAGAGCAACCTATGCTTGACAGATTCACCAGAACTGAAAAAAATATATATTAGTTTCTCGTGGACTTGGATATTAGAAAAGGTGTGTATCTTGCAGGACTGGAAAACATTTTTTAAGGTCCTACGAAAGAAAGAAAGGACTTGATGTAAGAGCCAGAGTGTATGTGCCAGGATAACAAATTCTTGACTGTGTAGGTAGCCCTTTGGTCAAAAAACAGTGGAAAAGAGTTTATTATTTACCATGACCATCTTACAAGCAAAGCATAGCCAAATCAAACCATCCAGGGCAGAAGCCCCACATGGTCAGAATGTCCTCCCACCACACAGAAATGAAACAGAAGACAAATAGTCAGGTCTTTATTTACATGTGTGTGTCTTCTTTTTCTAGTGCAACTGGTTTGGCTTCCATTTAAGTTTTGGTGCATAACTAAAAAATCCTTGGGCTCCTCTGATGGTGCAGCTGGTGGAATCTGTGGCGTGTGTGGAAGGGCTTCGTGTGGTCACGTCTGCTTGATTTGAGGAGGATTCCTAAGGCATTTAGAGGTGGTTACTCCCATACATGAAAGCCCAGTTGTGCAAGACGCTCTGGGATGTGCCTCCTTCTGAGATGCACATAGATCACTATGTCTAGGTGGACTTAAAATACAAGAACAGCAAGGGAAAATAGCAGCTATCCTATCGCAAGTAGTGCACTGTGCTAATCTACAAATCGAACAAGAAGGGAATGCAAAGAGAAGAAAGAAGAGGTAAAACGTCAGTGAAGCTTTGTCAGCCTTTATAGGTCCCAGATACTTAAATACAGACACTTGAAAAATGAAGTGTTTGATTTTGCAGCACCCAAAGTCTGCAAGATGCTCATACCGAAGGTTTTAAAGAGCAACGCTAACCTAAGGCACAAATTTTGTAAGATTGCCTAAAATTAAAGTTTTCTTTATATTTTCTAGCTTTTGCTGAGTATTTTTTAAAGCAAGATCTAAAAGAAAAGCAAAACGTGCCTTCAACCTAGAAACCTTTATCGCATTGTCCAGTCTGAGAGAAAGAAGTAAAATGAACAAATACCACATAATGACTCCAACAGATATTTTTAAAACTAATAATCCAATGTTTTATTTTTAAATTAGGAAGAGGCATAGGAAGAAATAGCACAAAATAACCGATAAATCTTCCACTGATGTTGATGAAGATAGGACGGGTAGTTATTTATTTTTTAGGATAATAGTATATAGGAGGAAGACCTGTCTATTATGAAGGGGAGAAATATTTTGAGTTGGAGAGGCAAGATAAAATATGACTTTATGTGCATACATTAATGTTCCAATTCGCAGGAAAACCGTCTGCGTCTGCCGTATCGGGGACCCCTTTCGGCTGTGTCTGCTGGAGGCCACACAAGCAGCGTCTGCGTCCAGCGTCTTCATGGCGACGTGCAGGGCCTATGGGGGCACTGTGGTCGTAGATGCTGCCCAGACACTCCTAAAGAGAAGGATCATAGAATGAATCACAGAATGGTTAAGGTTGGAAGGGACCTCAGAGGTCATCTAGTCCAACCCCCCTGCACACGCAGGGTCACCTAGAGCACGTGGCACAGGGCTGCATCCAAGCGGGTTTTGAAGATCTCCAGACAAGGAGACTCCACAACCTCCCTGGGCAGCCTGTGCCAGGGCTCTGTCACCCTCACTGTCAAAAAGTGTTTTCTCAAGTTCCTGTGGAACTTTTGGTGCCTCAGCTTGTGGCCGTTTCCTCTAGTCCCATCGCTGGCCACCACTGAAAAGAGGCCGGCCTCCTCCTCCTCACTGCCTCCCTTGAGGTATTTATACACGCTGATCAGGTCCCCCCTCAGCCTCCTCTTCTCCAGGCTGAACAGGCCCAGCTCCCTCAGCCTTTGCTCACAGGGCAGATGTTCCAGGCCCCTGATCATCCTCGTAGCCCTGTGCTGGACTCTCTCCAAGTTCTTCTCTCCAAGTTCTTCTCTCCAAGA